AGATGTAGGATGTTATGCAATTTCTTATGAAATTGCATTTAAAAATACTCCAGAAATGATTTATTGATATAAAATACTTAAAGGGATAAATGTCAAACAGATTTAGAGTGTATTATTCTGAAATGTATTCAACTGATGGTAATATGTACATCACACCATTTATTTTAAAATACTGTATTTGAAATTCAGAAACATCATTTCAAAGCAAATACAATTGTGGCATAGCATGAAAGCTGAAAGCCAAAAAACAAACAAAAAAGTCCATTCATAAGTGGTTCCCCTCAAAACATCTGGTTCTAAAAACACCACATCCCATGAATTATGCCTGACAGAAGGGCAGATTTCACACTTAATGTACTGTCAGTGATCACAGGGCTGAGAGCAGATGACTTGGGTAAATAAACAGTCGACACATTCTGATACAAGAAATAAGAGAGTTAAAAGACACAACATTATTCTGGTGTAGTGGGTTACTCTTTTGGGTTGCTAACCGTGAGGTCAGGAGTTCAAAACTATCAACTGATCCTTAGGAGAAAGACTTGGTTTTCTACACATGTAAACACTGACAACGTGGGAAACCCACAAGGACAGTTCTACTCTGTCTATAGGGTCACTATGAACAGGAACCATTTCGGTGGCAAGAAGTTTGGTTGTTGTGTGGTTGGGAGGGAAGGTTTCCAAAACCAAGTACCCCATCCCCACCCCTTCCCTCTTTTTCAGCCTTGAATTATATAAGCATCTGTTTTTCTTCCACCGTAACACCTAGCACAGTTGTTTGCCCGCAATCTAGATGTTTTGTTGAAAACAAAAAATAAAACAAGCATTGTCATCAGTAGACTGCTAACTGTAAAGAAAGGCTTATTTCAAAGGATTGGAATCATGTTGGCTGTGTTTGAACAATCTTAGTTAAACAATCTCAAATACAAAAACTTAAAATGAAAACGAATGAGATGCCCTTACTAGCCAACTCATGTTAAGTGGAGATTTAATGAGCTATGTTGACTTGGCTGACTTCACTCTCAGTTAAGGGGCTGTTCTACATACTTGAGTGTATATGGTGGCTCGAACTCTAAAACCCACTGCCACTGAGTCGATTCTGACTCATAGAGACCCTGTGGGACAAGATAGAGTGGGCCCCTGTGGGGGAGACGGGGACTGTTTACAGGAGTAGAAAACCTCATCATTTTCCCTCAGCATGGCTGGTAGTTTCAAACTGCTGACCTTGTGGTCAGTAGCCCAATGTGTAACCACTGTGCCACCAGGACCCCTATGTATGTTGAAGAAGCGAGAGAAAAGAACTGAAGTTCATGAATGTATGGTGAGCAGCAGGCATTGTCCTGGGTATTTTATGTACAATAACTCTTTGAACCTTTGCAAATATCTCTGAGCTTATTATTTTGTCTCTATTTTACAGCTACGGAGACTGTGGCATAGAGAAGTAATATTGCACTACCAGGAAGGTGTTAAATAGTGTTGGAATTCAAGCTTCATCTAGACTCTTCATTGTTCTGATCTGCCCTATTTTCTCTACATTAAAGAGAAGAGAAGGCATTCAACAACCGTATTCGTTGGGCTCCTGTGGTTTTATGTAACAGATGTACACTCAGGTTACCTCAAGGAGCGGGTAAAGGATACCCCTGGAACTAAAACCAGAGGCCTAACCGGCTTGTCCAGTCACCCCTGGGGGGAGGGGGCGGGACAGGAAAGATACCACACACTGACCACATTCCTGCGAGTTTTATCGGCTACCTCTGATTCTTTAATCATGTATTTCATGCTCTTTAATGTCTTTTCTATTACATTATTATATAATAACAATCATGTTAACATACTTCCTTAATAACTGCTTGCTTTTAAATTATCAATGCAAATGATGGGGGTCCTAATGGAGACCCAAAGCCCATCTGTAGATAATTGGACATTCCCTCACAGAAGGGTCACAAGGAAAGAACAAGACAGCTAGGATGCAGCACAGCACCGATGGAACACACAACATTCCTCTAGTTCTTTAATGCTTCCTCCTCTACCTCCTCCTCCACTATCACAGCCCCAGTTCTACCTTACAAATCCAGCTAGATAGAGCACATACACTGGTACAGATGAGAGCTCTCGACACAGGCAATCCAGGACAGATAATCCCCCCAGGAACAGTAATGGGACCATAGATACCAGGAGGGCAGGGAGAATGTGAGGGGAGAAGGGAAATAAGCGGGGAACTGACTACAATGATGCACAATTCCCGACCCCCCACCTCCCCAGGGGGACAAACAACAATGGACAAAGGAAGACAGCAGGTGGTGTAAGATATGAAAATAATAATTTATAATTTACCAGCGGTCCATGAGGGTTGGAGAGGGCGGGGGTTAAAGAGGAGCTGATACCAAGGCCTCAAGCAGGAAGAAAATTTTCAAAATGATGAAGGCAACGTATGTATAAATGTGCTTGATACAATTAATGTATAGATTCTTATAAGAGCTATAATAGCCCCAATAAAATGATTTATCTTAAAGGAGATGGGGCCAGAGGTGATAACTTTGGTGCCTGCCTCCTACATAACTTCTCCCCTCACCCAAGCAGTGCAGTAGTGTATCTATAACCACCAGATTTGGAGGGGGAACCCTGCTTGGTAGCATTTACCAGTTTAGGTGGTGTCAGCACTCCCACCTGTCTCTGGGGGCAGAATTGGGAAGAGATGCACACAACCATCTCTGGGGGTGCTGGGAGCTAGCACCAGTATGCCACTGTGCCAACTCCTCACAACTCTCCAGAAGAAAACAAGAACTCTTGTTGCACAATCACAGCTCTAAGGAGGTGGATTTCAGGACTTAGTCCCAGAAAAAACTCACCTGGCTTGATGCCGCTTCTCCTATTCTGCCATTAGCATGCCTCAGCAACTCTCTCTGTCTCTGTCCTGTCTTTCCACTACTGCTCCAACTACTGCCTGCCGACTCTCTCCATATAGCCCAGCACCAACGGTCCCAGAGAAGAAAACCTGCTTCTATCAACAGCGTCTCTCCTATATCAGTCAATCACATAAGCCAGCGAGCAGCCTACAGGCTGGCTACTCTCTCCCAGTTCATTAGCTATGGCGAAGCTAAGAAGAATCAATGCACTTGAATTACAGTGCAAGTAAAGACAATGCACTTGAATTACAGTGCGCGTAAAGACTATTGAGAGTAATGGAAGGCCAAAAGAACAAACAAATCTGTCTTAGAGGAGTGCAGCCAGTGCCCTTTAGAGGCAAGGATGGCAAGTCTTTGTCTTACATATGTTGGACACATTGTCAGGAGAGACCAGTCCCTGGAGAAGAACATCATGTTTGGTAAAGTAGAGGGGCAGTGAAAAACAGAGGAAGGCCCCCCAGGAGGCGGATTGACACAGTGGCTGCCACAAGCATAGGAACACTGTGAGAATGGCACAGGACAGGCACTGGTTCGTTCTGTTGTGCACAGGGTTGCTATGGGTAGGAACCGACTTGAATGATCACATGCTACAGGAAATGGCCACCCATGCAAAAGCTGCTACCTCTTTAGGGCTGGTGGTTTAATCATGAAGCTTTCTCCTCCTGTAACAAGTTATAGTCTCAGAAACCTACAAGGGAAGTTCTACTCTGTCCTACAGGGTCACTGTGATTTGGAAGCAACTTGATGGCATTGAATTTTTGTTTTCGTTTGTTTTGTTTGTATGGTTTAATGATATCCCCTCAGCCACTTCTCAAAGCTTCAGGGCAGCCCTCACTCCCCATCCCCAAGGAATATGTTGGGTGGGTGCCAACTACAGACAGGAGACTGAGCAATTAGGACTCGATGCTATTCAAAAGCCTCCGGCCAAGGTGAGAAATCCTAAATCAGCACTTGCCTTCAGTTAAGACTTTTCCATTGCCAGTGTTATAAATCATAAACCCCTAAATTTATGGAGCCTACTGCCCACTTTTCAGAAGAAAAAAAAAATTACTGTCCCCCTCCCCACTCTCACCTGAACCTGACCCCCACCCCCACACCCCTACACTTAAAAGCCTTTATGATCCAGGATAGCTGCTTTTGCAGCTGCCCTGGAGGGTTGCAGCACACACTCCCCAGAGAACGGGATTACACAATTTAGGAAACACTGTTTGTGATGGTTTCACAATTTCATGTCAACTTGAAGATACATAAAAGTGCAGGGGGGATCGCTTCTCTGCCTTTTGGCTAAGATCTAGTGTAAAAGTGTAGGGGTGGTGTTTAGCCTGTCAATCAGGTCACAGCCTAATGGGGACTCCTTGTGGGTGTGGCCTTCTCATAAGGAGGGCCCTGAGAAACTCCCCCACTCTCTATGCCTTTACCTTCTAGCTGGTGCACGCTGGTTGCTGCCAGAGCTATGGAAATGGGTCCACCGCCATTGGATCCACAGGATGTTGCACCCACCGGCCTGTGATACTTCTGCAGTCTGCATCATTGCATGTGGCTTCATGAGTCTGAAGAGGGACTTATGGACTAGTATCAGACTTATAGACTTGAGTTGGACTGGGCTGGGATGTTTTCCTTATATACAATTACTTCTTGATATAAAAATCTTTCTTACACGTATATATAAGGCTGTCACTGGATTTGGTGCTCAATCAACCCTGACTACACACTGTTCTAAGTCAATGATCAATAAGAGAGTGTGAGTAATATTTCTGAGGGAGATGCAACAGACTATCTAGAGAAAGGAATTTCAAACTTCACTCCAACCAAACTTTCAAACTTACTGTTTTGTGCCCCAGGGAAGCAGAATGTTCCCATCCCACCCCAGCTGAGAATACGGATCTTACACTTATTGAAGCATTCCTTATGCTCCAATATGCTGGGAGCAAAGGGTTGAGAAAAAAGGTCCCAAGCAATGTAAGGGAGGGGAAGCCAGCGCTGACAAAGGGAGAAATTGGACATGTTCTCTCATATCCAAAGAGAAGATTTCTTCCTTGGTACCTTTCCAGCCCCGAGTCATCAAAGGCATTAAAATGAAAAGCACTACCTGCCAGGATGGCTCAGGACCAAGCAGTGCTTCTCTCTGTGGAACACAGGTCGCTATGTGCTGGAATTGACTTCCGGGCAACTAACACTACCACCATCTATCAGGGAAAACTCCTAAGTGGAGATGGAAGATTTGAATTAAAGCGAGCGTTCTCCTGCATTTCACAGTAAAATTATTTGCCTGCATCTCCAGTGGCATTAGTTTATGTCACAGCTGAAGTCACCCGTTTTGTTGATAATTCTGGAGCGATGTGAAGCATGCGTTTCCATGATTAATGTATTGCCTAATTCTACCAGCTTTGAGCTTCGGCTGTACTATAAAACTACTAAATATTTAACCAGATTTTCAAGATGGAAGGGAATTAAATACTCCTCTCTAGCAAAGTTTTAGACAAGATTGTATAATGTAAGCTGGTATATGAAAACTCAACTACATAGACACAGAATAAGGGAAAATTCACTTTATGAATGGTACAAGAGAAGTCTAATGAAAGATCTGACTTTACTCTTCCTTCAGCGTCTGTTCCTGAGCATCTTTCCCAATTGTGTGCCTTTCTGGTATGACAGATGTGTATTTTCCACATGCCCTGTTAGCCTAGTGGGTTCCATGTTGGGTCTGCCGATTACAAGGTCAGCAGTTTGAATTTGCCAGCTACTCAGAGGGAGAAAGAAGAGACTTTCTACTTTTGTAAAAATGTATGGTCTCGGAAACCCACAGGGGCAGTTCTGCCCTGCTCTGTCAGGTCACTATTAGAATGCACTTGATGGTAGTGAATTTGGTTTCTTTCTTTCTTTTTTCCACACAAAGTGCACCGACTGTAAACCAGATTCTTCACCTCAGTTACCCAAATTAGCCACAATCTGATCCAGTAGTTGGGGCAACTCTGGTTGCTGGGAGCTACATTGCTCTCCCCCGTGTTGCCTCTGTATAGAGTTCGCACTGACACAATGGGCAAGCATAAGTGATATTCTTGTCTGTCGCGAGAAAAACAGACACTGCCACACCTTAGCCCATGCCAGCACATGAATATCATTAGCAAAGAGCATAATAATAATAATAATACCCATGTTTTTTCAAGATGGGTTATATTCCCCTTTATTGGTTGACAGAATGATATTAGGTGGTCTACAATAATGTTTTAAAGAAACGTTATTGGCTATCTTTTTATTCAACATTTTATACTAGAAGAACTGTGTCTAGCACATTAACCCTGTTATTTTATGCATATCATTTCTTTTTGGTTTGTTCTTTTTCTTCAACTGTTTATTATAAACTTTATCTTTTTGTTTGTTTTTAAATCATTTTATTGGGGGCTCGCACAACTCTTATCACAATCCATACATCCATTCGTTGTGTGTCAAGCACGGTTGTGCATTTGTTGCCATCATCATTCTCAAAACATTTGCTTTCTACTTGAGCCCTTGGTATCAGCTCATTTTCCCCTCCTTCCCCCAGGAACCCTTGATAACATAAATTATTATTATTTTGTCATATCCCAGTAATAGAGAAATTGGAAAGAAAAAAAGAGTTAAGAGACTTTCTCCTTTTTGACTTCCCATCGCATAAAAATAATGCTGTTAAAACTGACCCTTTAAACTTGGGAGGGAGGAAAGTGAGTAAGTATCAGGGTGGGGGGTTTATACATGTGTTTCATCTTTCATTGGGGGAAAAGTAGAACAAAAGAACTACTGTTGGCTACTTCTGGTGGCATAAAATGAAATAAAAACCAAGCATTTCATTAGTTTCTGCTGCTAGAGGAGGAGTCTAGTGGCATAGTGGCTAAGTATTCTACTGCTAACTCAAAGGTTAGTGTTTCAAAACCATCAGTCACTCACTCCATGGGAGAACAATGGTGCAGTCTGCTCCTGTAAAGATTACAGCTTAGAATCCTATGGGGCATGTCTACTCTGTCCTACAGGGTCATTGTGAATAAGAACCAATTACAATGCATGGTGATAAAAGGAAGTTTCCACAAAAGCTCACAGAAATCAGGGTATTTAGGGGACCTTGTTGGCAGAGCAGTTGTCCTGGATGGCGAAGCCTTGGGTTCCAGGGGCCCGAGACCCACAACACTTTCTACAAGATATCAAGTTGTGCTAATATAAATAATACTTGAAGTCTCAGTGTAACAAGGACATTTACAATGATGACTTTTAAGTGCAGACTCTTGGGAGTCAAATCCTAGGCGAAACACTTATAACAAGACATGGGTTTAAGAGGTCCTAGTGTTCTTCATGGCAAGAAGCTGAAACCCTGATGCTTAAGCTGTTTTTCGATCATAGTTCCAACTGCTTCACGATATAAAGAAAAGATACTTGCATAATGACTAGATCTTTGGGTGTACAGTATTTGCACTCCTCAGCTTCATGTCAACCATGAATCTGGCTGATACAGGCTTCCATAGCCACAGAGAGTTGTTCAGTTACCTGACATTTCATGGGACCAATATACCAATAGTCTTGGGAACTTTGAAAGAGAATTTAAAAACCGTAAGAGACATACTAGGAGAGTTAAACTAGTTTTCGATAAAGTAGGTTTACCTGCTAGACCAAAAAGTCCTTTAGATTCTAAGAAGGATGGGGATTCCCTTTCTTACTCTATGTTGCCTTTGAGTGATGGTCCAGAAGGCTCCAACAGTCGTCCTCAAATGATAAGGGGACGCCTCTGTGATGATACCAAACCTGAAACATTTAACCAATTATGGACCATAGAAGAACAGTTCTTGAAATACCCCCAAAGAAGTAGAATCTCGGCGCTGGCAGATCACAGATGAATTGGGCAATAGGACAGCAAAACAGGTTGCCAGCCGAGTGCAAAAGTATTTCATAAAGCTAACAAATGCTGGCATTCCAGTCCCAGGAAGAACACCAAACTTATACATGTACTCCGAACAGTCTTCAACAAGCAGACGACAGCACCCCCTTAATAAACATCTCTTTAAACCTTCCACTTTCATGACCTCCCATGAACCTCCAGTTTACATGGATGAAGATGATGACCGTTCCGGTTTTCACAGCCACATGAGCACTGCTGTTGAGGAGGCATCTGATGCAGAAAGTATTCCTATTGTGTTTAGAAATTTACCTGAATATAAGGAACTATTACAGTTTAAAAAAATTAAAGAAACAGAAACTTCCCAACAGATGCAAGCAGAAAATGGATTTGTACAACATGTGGGCTTTAAGTGTGGTAACTGTGGCATAGAACCCATCCAGGGCATTCGGTGGCACTGCCAGGATTGTCCTCCAGAAATGTCTTTGGATTTCTGTGATTCTTGTACTGACTGCCTACATGAAACAGATATGCACAAGGAAGATCACCAATTAGAACCTGTTTATAGGTCAGAGACATTCTTAGACAGAGACTACTGTGTGTCCCAGGGCACCAGTTACAATTACCTTGACCCAAACTACTTTCCAGCGAACAGATGACATGGAGGAACCCATCGGTTATTAGTCCTCTTCAACACACAGCAATGGTCTCATTGTTAAGTACGTGCACCGTCTGGAAAGATTCTCTGCTTTCCCTGAAATGACACTCAGCGTGACCGCTTCCTGAGTATTCTCGTCAAGTACAACTGCACCGATGCGACTCCAGCACACTGGGCAGCAGCTGGACATTCCTGGTGAACAAAGGGTTTCCCTGGTGAAGATTGTCACCACCTCTTTACAGCCTTTGTAGGTGGTGCTCTTAAATGGGTGAGAAGGGAATGCGAGCACACATTAAAGAGAGAGTAAAATTCCAAAGGTTTCAAAGAACTTGGTCATAAATATAACGAGAAGACAAAGTATATGAAACAGTTTAGTAGCTTTCAGTTTGTTGTGAAAATAGTTTTCAGCACAGGAACTGACTTCTTTAGACAGTTTTAACCAATGATGGTGGTTGCTTCTAGGATATACACTTTAAAAGAACTCACTGTCCCAGTGGTGGCCTTTCGTAAATCGGAGCTGCTTAACCATATTGATGTCTAATTCCTTTTAACGACAATGAACTGTCCTTATTACCAACAGTGAAGCACTACAGGCAGCAGCTGAGGCACTGCCTCCTTCACCAGCTCATGGTATGTGAATGTTATAAAATCATCACTCAGATATATTTTTTAAATGTAATGTTATATAAGATGATCACGTGATATGTACAAACCATGGTGAAAAGTGCAAGGTCTCTAATTCACAACATTAATTCCTTTAAAATACACAGCCTTCTGCCTCTGTATTTGGGGTTGTTGGTACAACTTATCAAAGAAAACTGCCTAATATAAATATCACATATATGGTAATAATTTCCCTCTTTTGTAGTCTGCACAAGATCCATAAAAGATTGTATTTTTATTACAAGTATTAAATTTAGTCTGCATAGTGAGCAAGAGTTCACATGCATTCTTTTATACTGCTGGATTTTGTTGTGCATCATTTAAAACACTTTGTATGTTTCTTCTTATCTGTATATACAGTATGTTCTTGAATAATGTTCATTTGTCAGGAGAACTGTGAGAAATAAACTATGTGGAATACAGCTGTTTATATTTTTAAAAAATCAGGGTATTTAGTAGAAAGAAAAACATTCTAAGTTAGCACTTATTGGGTCCATGGAATGAGGAGAGGTAAGATAGGTGAGTTAAGAGCGAGAGCAAGCACCTGGGAAGCCCCATCCTGGGGCCATGGACCAGCAGGTGAGGCTGCCACTGAGAGAGCCCTGGCAGGAAGGGCAAGGTGGGCATTCTGCTCTCAAAGAATAGATTTGGTGGGCAGGCTTACTCTCAATGCAAGCAGGAGAGGTTGGTAACTTTGTGGCTTATGCTTTGGCACCTGCCACTTTGGTCACTCTACTGGGTGCCCTGGGTGTTCTCATAAGTGCAATTTTGTCTTCCTGGTTTTTAAATGAGCACTTCAATATTCATAGGAAAATAGGCTGCCTGCTAAGTATATTAGGGTTAACAATGATGGTTACTCGTGCCCCTCATAAAGGAAAAGTGGCTTCTTTGCATGAAATTGAAATCAATTGAGAGGCCCAGGATGCACATCCTTTGTGGTTATCACATCACTGATCTCCTTGGTGCTGTTTTGGTGGCATCTTCCAAGATATGACAGACGCCTATATTGGTTTACATTTCACTCTGTTCAATGATTGGAACATTTTCCGTTTCTTCTGCCAAGGGCCTGGGAATTGCCATCAGGAAACTCTTACAGTGGCAGCCTGTTCACAAGCATCCTCTGGTCTGTTTTGTTGGCTATGACGACAAAGATCAGTTATCTCAACAAGGCACCAGACTCCTTTAATACCTCCCTTGTGACTCCCACCATGTGTCTTCATGTCCAGGTCGGGACTTGCTTTGCCATCTTATTCAAGGCGAGGTTGGAATGAATGCCGGAGATATCATCAGGACCCTGCGTGGGTTCTTGACTATTATCAATGCCATCTTTCTTTGCTATGCTTTTAAAAACCCTGACACGCCCTGGAGCCAGCTGACACCCACAGCTATGGAAGAAGCCCCTATCTGAGTGGTCACGAAGAACAAAGATGCTTTGCTAGAGCACAGGGAGCGCTCACCCACAGGGTACAGGGGTGATGTCACCTGGGTCAGTAGGAACGACCAGCATAGTCGCTAGAGACTGAATTTCAGCCAATAGGAGACTCTTGTGCAGGAAAAGGAATACCTACCTGCTCATTGGAAGAACTCT